GTAATAGAGACATTAGTTCTACAATATCCATGAGGGGTCAAAGCTTTGACTTGAATTGAACTATCTAATAATTATTGAACTTATATTTCTGATATTTAACTATTATACATATTTTTGTATATAATGATAATTTAAACATTAATGTTATAGATAATTAATAAATTAATATGAATGTTAATTTAGAAATTAGGATTTAGAAAGCTTATTTACATCCATATTGTCTATCAATTGATTTACAATCTTGAAACACTGCACTTTTCATCTCTTGCCTTATATTATTTGATCATTTTCATTTTTCACATTCTGTCCACGTTCATCCTCCCTCAAAACCCGCACAATTCCCAATAATCAAATCGTCCGAAATTAAAATAGCATCGAGGAAATTTATCGACACATGGAAATCATCCCGTCGTACGAATTTTTAGGCGAACGCGTCGAGGCAGTGCATGAGTGGCGAATGGTGGAATAACGACACGAACAGAGCTTGGAGTAACTACAGCCAGTGTTACACGCACGAGCTGGTCACTCTGTTAATGGATGTGCCCGGCGGCCAGAACAACGACACTCTCATTAAGGTAAACGTCGATGAAAATGAGCGAGTCTGTTTGGTACGTCGATCAAAGCTTTCCTAAACCTCGACACAAACGCGGCCTCTGACATTTCAAGAATTACCAGCCGGGAATTTATCATGCCGCTTCGTTTTTATTGCATTACCGAAGTATTTCAGCGACGAAGTATCGGAAGCGCCCTCTGGGCTCGGTCCGAGGGGGGAGACGCTTTACGGTGGGAATAAAAGAAAAACCGGGAATCGATGGGAATTACGAGGAAATGTTTTTCAGAAAGCCTAGCTCCTCTCAAAAGGCTCGCACCGAGGGTAATTCATGTTTCACATAAAACTCGACTGCCAAGTTATTATCTCGTATTTTTATCTACAGGGAATTTATTATACGAGTAGTGCAGACCAATAATACATTACGTTTCCATGTCTATAATCAGACCATTTTGATATTACAAATAAATGATCGTTAATACAGTTTTAATACTTGTATAAAATTTATGCTAATAATTATTTTTATACTACTGTTGGATTCAATATTGCCTGTTCAGATATGATTATATATTTCTATTAATATTATATTTTTCAGAATTTTTGACACGTTAGGATCTTAGAAAAAAAATACCAGAAATGAAAATCTGGCATTTTTTGAAATTTGTCTAACTTCATGAATTTTTATTTAAATCGCATCATTTGGAAAAGTGGAAAAATTGTTTCATATCACAAAATTCTGTGAATGTTGAAAATTGATTAATGTAAATAGTGGGTAGAAAAATTTGGAAAAATTCGCATGTCTCCTAATTGTATTATAACACAACCCTGAATTTTTTTAGAATTTTCCATCAACCGCAACTTGCAAAATAAAATTGCTAAATAAACTCAGCTGAGAATCAGGATAAAAATTGATGGTCATTATTTATGAAATTTTTCCTGTTTCAATTTGCACTATAAAAATTTGAAAAAAATCTCACATATACTCTTCGTATAGTAGTACATTCCTGAATTTTTGCACAATTTTTCATCAACTGCAACATGCAAAATAAAATTGTTAATTAAACTCAATTGAGAATCAGGCTTGAAATCAGGCTAACTATAAGCACTAACATAGATATCAAGATTGATCAAGCCTCTTTCAAATCATTTATTATTATCATTATATATTATTACCAAAACTAACAAATACATTAATTAAATCCAATATTAAAACAATCACAATTCAATTAAATAAATTAAATTAACATATTAAATGTGTACGAGTAATTATAAACTTCATTGTACAAATCATTTATTAATCATTTTGCTTGATATTAAAAAGCAAATATTTTTTACTTGATTTATATCGGTGTCTAACATTTGAAATCCCGGATGATTACTTCAAGTTTATCCCGAATTGGGCGCAGGAAATTGAGGTGCCCGCGAAACATGCTGCACATGCATCTGTTCGCCTCGTTCATCCTACGAGCCTTCATGGCTCTGATGAAAGACGTCCTGTTCGTCTCCGGGATCGCGCTGGCCACGGACGTCACCATTAAGAATGGCAAGACCTACTGGTTGGTCGACGAGAGGGAGAGCAGCTGGCTATGCAAAGTGTTCACCAGCTTCTGGCAGTACTTCATCCTCGCGAACTACTTCTGGATATTAATGGAAGGCCTCTACTTGCACAATCTGGTCTTCCTCGCTCTCTTCACAGACGTTAACTCGAGCATCATCGGCTACGTCTGCCTCGGATGG